CCGCCCTGGACCACGCCCGGGGAGGGGGCAGCCACAGCTTCTCCGGGGAACCTCTGCCAGTGCCTCACCACCCTCACAGGGAACAACTTCTTCCCAAAATCTAATCTAAGTTTCCCTTCTGTCAGCTTAAAACCATTCCCCCTTGTTCTATCCCTTGGAAAAAGTTCCTCTCTGACTTTCTTGTAGGCCCCTTTAGGTACTGGAAGATGGTCTAAGGTCTCCTGGAGCCTTCTTTTCCCCAGGCTGAACAAGCCCATCTCTTCTCAGCCTGTTTCCATAAAAGAGGTGCTCCAGCCCTCTAAGCATCTTCATGGCCTCCTCCAGACTTTCTCCAACAGTACTTGACTTACTGCAGTGGATAATACTTTGGTATGGTATGTCTGATTACTAAGAATAAACTTTTACCTAGGATCCCAAGCATGAAAGAAGGCAGCAGTTCAAGCTTTTTGTCATGTAACAAAAACTCAGTTGTATTGTACTTAAGAGTATGGCCCTGGTGGACAAATACAGTCTCACTTTGTGTGCTGGCCAGTGTTATCCAAGCTGTGTTACGCAGAGACATGACTGGAGTACCTGACTCCCACTCTGGCCTGCTCAGGTGCTGACAGTGACACAGCTGCAGTACCACAAGAATCGGCACAGGCTGCATAGCCTACATGGGCACCTTACTCAGAAAGCAAGGCCCATGCATTTGGTACACACTAACAATGCCCCAGAATGCTCAGATGTTTCTTTAGAAATTGTTATTACATCCTGTCATACAGCAACGCAAACAGAAAAGTAGGAAGAAGGGGGAAGTATATCTTGGCACAAGGAAAAACAAGTACTGAAATGCAAACCTCAAAACCAATGTGCTGCTCTTGCACAAAGAATAGTGCTTACTGTGTGGCCACTTTCCCTGTGATGGTGGCAGCCTACAAAATGGCATTCCTCTCTAGTGGCGCACTTTTTGGTGACTGATGTACTCTTCCCATGGTCTGTGAAGAGATGAACTGTCAAACAGTACTGAGTACCTACAAAATAAAATTTAAAATGTTCAGTTATGTAAAGTATGCATTCTTTTACAGGGTTTAAAAACTTCACACTAATTAGCAAAATAGTCTCATAAAAACTACTTATTTTGGCTGTACAAAGCCATTTTGCAACTTAATCAAAATACCGTTAGCAAGAAATTAATTAATGATGAAATCTTCAGCTTAACTGACCCTTCAAACCTCCAGAAAGGCTGCTATCACTTAAACTACTTTTTAGCACTATAATCTATGCATTTATCTTCCATCCTTTACTCTTTCTTGCAGCCCATTCTTGCTTTCTTTGTTTTGGACATGGTTCCTCATTCCTCTAGCTTGTTTCTTCCATTTTTCCACTGTTACTGTGAATATGACCGTAAAGAAAAATGAGGAAGCATATTTCCATTCTTTTCTATGTATCTATTATTCTCTCACACAAGTATGATCCCCAGTCATTCAGGTCTTGCTGCTTTACGAGCAAGCCTACAGCATAGAGAGACTATTTCATGTTGGGATGGTATCAAAAAAGAAGAGGATAAGGCTGCAAAGGCAATTCTTAATTTTTTTAAACAACATCTTTATTTCCTAGGAAGCACATAGCTACACACACATAAATTGATATCTTGTTAATATATCTACTATGCTATATTAATAATGTATTGTTATATATTATATGAAATGTTTTATAGATATAAATAATTTTTCACTGTTGCTTTGCACTCTGAAATGGTCAAAACATTCACCTCAGCAGAAGTTGTATGAGTCAGTATTACTAACAACATAACTGAGGACACCACTGTGTTGGCAGGTTAATCCTATTCAGTTCAACTTCTACAAGATGGCTGAGTCAGGGAGAAGGAAATTTAACTATCATAAAGAATCTCCTTAGTACAGACGCACTTACTTTCAGGACACCATCTATCTTCAGCCCATCTGTTACAGTTGTAATTGTCCACTGCATTATCACAAGTAAAGCACTTAAAACTGTTTGGAAATGGAGTGGCTTTAAAAGTATTAAAATATAGTAAGTTTGCATGTATTAATAAAAAAAAAATTCAAAATAATACCGTGCTTGTACACACTTATGCTTACAGAAACATATTACATACATTTACATATTTTCAATGACACATCAATGTTAGACACCTAAGCAACAAGTTTTGTAGTAAGCTTTTACATTTTTAACTGGGTTTGCTATGCCTGCACTTTAAAACACTTTCTCCTGTTTTCATTCTCTCACAATCCAAAATACCATTTAAGCTGTGGTGGGAAAACAGGAAAGAGAGAACACCTTAGATGTATGCCCACAATACTAAATCCACATGTATGTTAATAGAGATACACAAACACTGTCTACAGATTCATTTGATGAAAAAACCTACATCTTCAAAAACAGATTCAGATTTTAATCTCCAGCTCTGAAGAGGAGTGTTTTAAAACCTTATTTACATTATATAAATATATAAATGATTTTAAGATGTACAGTTCCCTAGATGCACATATATACCTATCATACCCCGCTGTCCTGTTTTAATGATACGTAAAATGAAAATCTTCTCCCTTTAAGTGAAGGATAGAATAATTCTGATGCTAGATAAGAGGCAAAAAAAATGATGCCATTAGTGACAACTGGCTTCACAGGTCTCACAAGGTTTTTAACTACCTTCAGTTTGAATTAATTGCATACAGCACACCAATTCTTTACCTTACAAAAACCCCAACAAGATAAAACACAAAAACATCTGTTCTGTATTATTTCTGAGAAATCCACTGCATAATTTGCTCTGTAGGAAGACATTTCAGAGACAGAAAAATAACATAAAAGCACCTAAAATGTGAAAGTCCTCATGCACTCTTTAATTTAGCAATGCATGCAATTGTTTATTTTCATTCAGTCTACCTTTAAAATCTTAGAAATAAATTAAATTGCTGTGGGTTGAAAAGCAGTTTTATTTTAAACTTTTTATCCTTCATATTTGAAGAAGACAAACACCTAAAAACCAAAGGATTGAAAGAATATGGCAATTAACTAAAATGTTAAGCTACAACCGCATACACAAAAAAAGCGTAGTGTCTACTTACGGTCTAGTGGAGGTCTCACATTGTAAAAGTTGATGTTCTCAGCTGAAACCCTATTTCCTGAAAGGATGAAGAACGGAAGAAAGGCTCCGGCCAGCATGTGATAGAATAACAACATGCTGAATATTATTGTACATGAAAAGCAAAACTCTTAGGCCTAAGAAAGAAAGGGAACACATTATTTAGAGGAAATCATAAAGAACTGAGTGTGTAGAACAAGAAATTTCCTAGTAAGTACTCCTGAAACATTGAAAATTCAGTCTGTAGGTCTGTACTGTGAAGATGGCTAATACAAGTGAACATGTAATGATGAGCAATGCAAAGCTGAGCAGTTACTGCCTTCTGCTGGCCAGGATCCTGTACAGAGTCCTTAAACTTCCACAAACTTAAAAAAGCTAACATATTTCTTTAATCTATTTGTCCTTCTAAGGAATGTCAATCTTACAGAATCCTTGTAAGTATTCCTAAAAATGAACATCGAAACTGAACTCCTTTATATCCTACTTGAAACAGACAGGATTACAATACCATTAAAGAAAGCAAAACGCAGACAAATGTAATTTTTAACACCAACAGCCTAGAACTCAAGCCGAATTCCTTATCTGACACAGGTCAGTGTATGTCTACCACCTTCAGATAGCTACAGTGGCACAGCATTAAAAATCATAGGTGTAAATTCAATTTATTTCTTCTTAAAGTGCATACTACCGGGATGCTAAGAAACACACCTGATGATGGTACACAAGTCTTGAGAACTGCAAAGCAGCACATTCAGAGGATGTGACAGAGGTTTTGGGCACATTTATTTGGGCTCCCCGAGGTGCTTTGCTAAGGCTTTGTGGAGAAGAAGAACTAACTGGTCAGTTTGATATTTAGATGTACACGCATACACACACAGAGGTATGTATGGCAAATAGCAATGATACTGGAGACCTAGTTCAGATATTAAAAGGCAGAATCAGCTTAAATGGCACCCTGCCCATGCAAATTCCAAGCAAGAGAAACAAGCTCGAGTGGAGGCTCCCGCCAAACCAAACATGTTGCTTTGAGCTGCCAAATGCATTCATTCAGAAATTTCTCTGCATACCCCTGCACAGGCCTGTGTAGATGTACACTACACCTGTGCAGGAAGCTCCAAATGAATCCAAGCACTGAACTGAAAACGGTACTCATACTATGGCAGAGAATTCAAAGGATTTCCTTCTTTTCCTTGGTTTTTTTTGTTTGCTTGGTTGATTGGTTTTGTTTTTTCCAATTGACACAGATAGGAGTTATTTGAAAGATGCTTGTGATAACAAACCAATCAAGAGAAAGTTCACCTTTACGCACTGGGGGCGTAGCCATCCTACCTTAAAATTTGTTTTGTAAATATGAATATATTTCAGTAGATACTGAGAAAGCCCTGGCATACCTCTAGTTTCAGTGCACCTCCAAGACTATTTTCTGTGGATGGTCCAGATTTCTTCTGATTGTAGCCCAGGATCTAAAGAAGGATTAAGAAGAAGGTGTGGAAAACAAACAGCAACTGATTGTCATAATTCTGTCCTGAAGGAACTAATGCGCTGAAACACTGTATGTCCTTATTTAAATTGAGAATTAAGATAGAAACCTAGAAGTGTGGTGGATTTCATAACAAAATATACAAAGAAGCACCTGAAGTACAAAATGTAGCTCTACCTTTTTGAGTGCTATCCTACTGCAGAAATAGATTCCCTCCTTCCTGTGATACCCCAAAGTCTTGAAAGACAAACGACAGACAAAAGTGAAGCAGTAAGACTACTTAGTCCTTCCACGAGGATGAGTTTACTTCTCTTGCAAGGGAAAAACAGTACCCAGGCAATGACCTGGGCAGGACCAGTCAATACCAGATGAATAAATATTTCACACTCTAGAGATATTCAAACTTTCAACACATGCTTTGACCAAAATAGAAGCACTCAGCAGCAGCAAGGTAACCTAAAAGAGCATCAGTCTCCAGATTGAAGGTTATTTGCAAACTATTAAGTAAACAGGTCCCCCACAGTTCATTCCTCACTGAAACAGAAACACAAAAATGTTGGCCAAATCCTTAACACCACTGCAAAATCCCAAATAAATCTAAAACAAAGTTACAGCTCTCTCCAATTAAGCACACAGTATTTGCACAGTGATATTCTGCAGCACTAAAGACAGGCTATTTATAACGCTCTTGACTTGCCTTACTAGCACACACTCGAGGTGCACGTTTCAAATGTACACTTAGTTTTAGTGGCTGGGTATTTTTTTTAATTTGTTGGGATATAAACCTGTGTATCATGGTTTAGTGTGAGGTGTCCCTGCCCATGGCAGGGGGGTTGGAACTAGATGATCTTAAGGTCCTTTCCAACCCTAACTATTCTATGATTCAATATCGTGACTCGATGCTTTTTTGCTAACAAATCAACCCACATCATGTTCTGTCATTTAGCTGTTGCCTCCAAAGTCTAGTTCATGATCCTTAATGTCTTCCAAGATAGATCACTGAAATGTGGCATTACACAGGATAGGAGAAAGGGAAAACAGAAGACAGTGCTGCTACTACAATTCCTGAATGATCCAAAATACAATCCAACTTAATTCCTCCTATTTCTAGCATTCTTAGCTCTACCAGTTTATATTGGAGCCAAGAGCTCTCCCTCAAGTTTCCTCTTGTTTCATACAGTTTAAATCAGTGCTTAGAAACTCCATCCTTTGCCATTAGTATGTAAGATTCTTCAAATGAATTTCTTCTTAGAAAATGACCTTTTTATCCCAATGTCAAGAGGTGACAAAATTTCTATTCCAGCTGGCAAATTTCTTTTTTCCTTCACAGACAATAATTCCCTGTATTATCCCATCCCACTCTTCTGCTTTATGGTATTTTGGATCAGGCTTCCATGGATGAAGGAGAAGAAAAAAACATAGTGTACCAAACCCCTTCGTTAATACCATAACTATTATTCTGAACAAGTTGAAGATTTAAAGTCAACATAGTAACAAAATGTCATGAGTACCAGAAGCAAAATACACTAACGGAACTTCCATAAAATTATACTTTCCATGAAAAGAGCCAATCTGATAAAGAGACAACAGCTAAAGATCCACAAAGTCTAACTTAAGAGATCTCTCTTTCCCACACAGAGGAGAATTCTTACATGGTGATTTAAAAACAAAACCACCCCCAAAGCACAGCATATGAAAGGCAATTATGCACAGTTGAATTGGCCAGCTCTTCAGTAATGTCCCCTCTTTCTGATGTAGAAGATACGTCTCTCCTGTTGTCACTAGTACCACTGTCACTATATTTACAGCTTGTGCTTTCTTACTATTTCCCACAGGTATCCTGTCATCCATTACTGGAGTCCAAACACAGACACCGTAAAGTCTTTACCAGCTTAAAAACAGAACTGCTACATATTTAGTTTTATTAAAATAAAAAAAAAAATAAAAAGATACAGAAACCAATGACAATGTGTGAAGTTAAAATACAGAAGAATCATGGAATGGTTTGGGTTGGAAGGGACCTGAAAGACCATCTAGTTTCAAGCTCCCTGCCATGGGCAGGGACACCTTCCACTAGACCAGGTTGCTCAAAGCCCCGTACAACATGGCCTTAACACTGCCAGGGATGGGGCAGCCACAGCTTTCCTGGGCAACCTGTGCCAGCACCTCACCACCCTCACAGGGAAGAACTTCCTTATATCTAATATAAATCTCCCCTCTGTCAGTTTAAAGCCATTCCCCCTTGTCCTATCCCCCCTTGTAAAAGTACCTCTTCAGCTTTCTTGTTAGCCCACTCAGGCACTGGAAGCTGCACTTAAGTCTTCTGGAGCAAGCCCACTCTCTCAGCCTGTCTCCATAGGAGGGGTGCTCCAGCCTTCAGAGCCTCCTCTGGATGCGCTCCAACAGGAGCTCCAGTAACACATAACTCCAGTAACATCAGCACAAGTAGGTGTCAATTTTAAGTTCCTGATCCCAGTCACCTTGCTCTTACATCTGTGGACAATCAGGGATCCAGTCTGCACTGGCTTCAGTGGGGCAGTATCAGGCCCTTAATGCATATAGGCTGCTTGAGTCTTGTTGGTAAAGGTATGAGGACCTTTTTTGTGCCTCTAGTGCCAATATCTTTCCTCATGGGTCCTTTGCAAAACAGCTCTATTTAAGCCCTTTGAGTATCTCAAGCAAGTTACTTTTAAACTGGCAACCCATTTTTAATCAAGTAGCAAATTGCAGTTTATTTTGGGCAGCTCAATATCATTTTAAATTTTTTTCAGTATTACTTTGTAGGAAAATGAAGCATTGACTCTTTTCAAAGCATAACAGTTGCGTAACTAATCTCCTTAACACGTTTTCTGCAGTTTCTACTAGGTTGAGGAAAATTTGCCTTTATGGGGAGACTGGTCTGTAACTTGAACTGATGCACCTGGGTAGCAAATAAAAGGCACAATTACACTTGTGCCAGCTTTCTACAAATTCAAGCTGTCTCCTGCTCCCCTCCCCTAAGTTCCTATTGCTTTCCTGTCCTGGTTTCCCCAGAGAAGCTCATGCCAAATAGAAAATTTTAGGGAACATAAATACAAAAAAAGCTAGTCTTTAGTTGGTGTAAAGCACAGTAAATTGATCTCATGATTTGATGTAGTCAAAGGTGTCCTTGTTTGATAACCAGGCTAATAAATAATGGATGCTGTGCGACATGATCTTAGTTACACAGCTGCACCAGAAGTCATTCTTAAATAAAAGAGGAAAATATAGGCCAAAAAATGGTGCTCATATCTTACCCCAAAATCTTTACAATGCTTATTTTCTTCATAGTCTCTTATCTCTGTTGTACTTTCATATAATATTATCTAGTAGTATGAATAAACATTTCATTATGCCCAATTAGGAACTCTCATTAACGAAGGAAAAAACTGTCACAACACAGAAGATTAACTTATATAAACAAGAGCAAACATGGAGACATAGCTTTCCTGGGGTGAGGGAAGAAAGCCCAAGAGGGAAGGGCTGTTAACGTATGCTCTGTAATGAACTTGTAACTGAAGCACATTTCAAGAACACAATGAGGAATACAATGGCTGAAATAATAAATATATTCCAGGAGGTTTTAAGGCTTATCTTGCA